GTTTGAATTACATTCTGCTATCAAATTTATTAAAATTATAACCTGAAGATAACCGATTAAAATGAATGAAGACATTTGTTTACAAATTAAAGAGCTCAAGCCTCTGTATCCTCCCATATATTTGTCCTTGCCAAGTGTGGGTTATATCCAGTAAATTGTGTAATTGGAATAACATTAATTTAGCATTATAAAACAATTTTTATACAAATGAGCAAATTAAGATTTGCACATTTGTTCAAGCATGTTATGTATTATGCCTTATTAATTGCCTAATATAATATTTACATAATAAGGAATTATTATTTGAAAGTTTTGTTATAATTAAAAATATAATAAACATAATTAAATAATAATATAAAAACAATGGGCATCATAATGATATCTAAAAGGATAGTATTATTATTTTATCAAGCATAAAAACATAAAGTAGACTATTGTAATTAAAAGAACTTCCTAATATTTTTCATATAAGTTGCAGCATCATTTATGACATTTAGTTCATAAAAATATAAGAAATTAATTTAGCATATCTAATAATAATGATGGTATCGCTGTATGTGTGTGATGATTTTCCTTAATGCTTCATATTAATAGAACAATTACAATAATACTAAAATTCCAATGTTAAAAAGCATACATTTAATTAATAGTGGTTCAATTGAACCAACAAGCATGGAACTGGAAGTGGCCCAGAGTTTTTGATTTTCTGTATGGTAAATATATACCTAAAATAAATAAGCAATGGAAAATAAAGAGTGAAATTTTATTTAACAGATACAGATTAATAAGCAGGATATGTATGATCATTATTAATCCTATCTATCTAATATATAATCGAGACGGGTTAATAATAATAATAATAATAATCAGCGCAGAGCCCAAACGGTTAGGAGTTGAAAGTTGAAATTTGGTACACAGTTAGGGTACGTTAGGAGAACGCACACTAAGAAGGGATTTTTCGAAATTCCTCCCCACGGGGGAGAGGGACAGGATTAAGGCTTAACACTTCCATCAACAATGGAAGTGTTAAGTAACAATGGAAGTGCTAAGTAACAATGGAAGTGTTAAGTAACAATGGAAGTTTTAAGTAACAATAAAAGTGTTAAGTAACAATGGAAGTGTCAACAATTGAAATGTTACGTAACAATGGAATTGTTAAGAGAAAGCGACGTGCGATATACAGATGCAGTTTTTTTCGTTTTTGCGGGAAATCGAACATATTTTTAGACCCATCTAAAAATTTTCTAATTAGTCAGGAAACAAGGGGACCCAATTCTTGCATTATGTGAAAACAGGTAAGGTTGACTGTAACGTAATAATCTTTATTTTAGTTATCGTTACTTTTGCCCGAGCAACGCCGGGCTCACCTGCTAGTATATATATAATTGAGATGGGTTGATAATAATAATAAGTGCAGAGCCCAAATGATTAGGAGTTGGAAGTTGAAATTTGGTACACAGTTAGGGTATGTCATGAGAACACACACTAAGAAGGGATTTTTTGAAATTCTTTCCCATGGGGGAGAGGGAGAAGATTAAGGCTTACCCTGAAGAACTCGGCTTCTATTGTAGTAGTTTAGATGCAGATTTTTGCGTTTTTGACTGCATTTTAGTAGGCTACCACATTTAGTAGGGTACCATGGGGGATGAATGAATTGTATTCCTTAACAATGGAAGTGTTGAGTAGCAATGGAAGTGTTAACATAAAAATGTTAACAATGGAAGTGTTGAGTAACAATGGAAGAGTTAAGAGAAAGCGGCGTGCAAGATTTACAGGTGCAGATGTGGGTTTTTGTATATTTGCGGGAAATTGAACATATTTTTAGAGCCATGTAAAAATTTTCTAATTAGCCTGGAAATGGGGGACCTAATTCTTGCATTTGTGAAAACAGGTGAGATTGGCTATAATGTAATTATCTTAATCTTCGCTATCATTACTTTTTGCCTGAGCAATGCTGGGCTTATCTGCTAGCCCAGCGTTGCTTGGGGGAAAAGTAATGATAGCAAAGATTAAGATAATTATGAGAACGCACACTAAGAAGGGATTTTTTGAAATTCCCCCCTGGGGAGAGAGGAACAGGATTAAGGCTTTGACAATGGAAGTGTTAAGTAACAATGGAAGTGTTAAGAGAAAGCGATGTGCAAGATTTACAGGTGCAGATGCAGTTTTTTGCATTTTTGATTACGTTTTAATAGGATAAGTTACAAGAATATACACTAAGAAGGGATTTTTCGAAATTTCATCAGTGGGGAGTGAGGTTGTTAATTAAATGAATAGTTTTTAGCATTTTAATTTGAATATTATTGTAGCTGTTATATTACTCTGAGTAAGAAACAAACATATTTTAAGTCAATGTCCCTTAGTAACTAGATGAGATATATCTTCACAAACATCAGAAAATCTAGCAAATGTATACAATTTAATAACACATTTGTTTTTAAAGGACTCTTTTAAAAGAATTTTACTAAAATAAATGATAACGTTTATATAATTATTATAATAAACTACAAAATGACAAGATAAAATTTTGAAAAAAGAAGGCCTATTGTATTCATTTTCTTCACCATCTTAGAAGCTTGATAACTCCTATGCTTTTTGTCAAAAATTCTGAAATTTTGCAGGGAGGTTTGTGTATTATGGGATTGATGCTATTAAATTTTGATGGTTACAGGTCAATAAGGTAGGGAGATAAAGGGAGTCAGACTTAATGAAAATTTTCTTCATTGTTAGCATTTACAATTTTTTTTTATAAAACTCATCCCTACCCTCAAAATTAAACTTTTTGCCATTTTATAGTAATTAAATATAAAAAATTTTTAATAATAAAATATCATAAAAGATGGTGCCACATACACAGTTTTAAATGTTACCGGGAAAGTTAAGCAACTTGTTGCAGGATTATTTTTAAAGAAAGTATTACAAAATTTAACAGGGGCATAATCTTCAGAACACTGGTGTGTGAAACCATAATGGTCATTGCTCCAAAACTTTTTATGAGGTGATTACGGAAAGTTTTTGAGAAATCAGTATGAAATTTCTGAATTCATAAATGATTAAAATTATATTTAAAAACTTTTGAATTTAAATTTAATATAAATTTTTTTCTCGAAACAAATACTTTTGCATATTATATCAATTAATAATAAAGAATAATCAACAAGAATCTTGTTTTTTCTTGAATCTTGATCAAGAATCAGCAAGAGAAATAAAGATTGAAAGAATATGTCAGTAATATATCTTTTATCAATTTTTCTTTTTCTTTTTAGCTAAGTGTTGCCTATGCCAATCTTTTCTTCTCATTTACTAGATCTTGTAAAGAGTAGCCATCGTCTTTTCTGAATAAATCATTAGCTAGTCTTTGCTAGACTATCAAAATTAAATAGTGAGGAGTTTGGACAGCACTCTAGTTGGAATAAGTTACCAAGTGCTGTATGTAATCCTTTCTAGAATCTGATGGCTCTCGCCATAATCAGATAATATCACTTGGAAAGTAGGATTAAAAATTCCAAGTCCATATTAAAGCAGAAAGGGTTGATAACTTGAACTTCATCTGGTTGTAAAAACAAATTAGGAAAAAATGGCAGCTTCACGGAAAGTAGTACAGTAAAGTCTCGAAAACTTGGCCTAATGTGGACCGAACGGTGGCCGAGTTTGTGAAAATGCCAGGTTATCGGGAATGGGGTTAAAAAAAAATAAGTATGAGTGTTTCCTGAAAAAATACTGTACTGTACTTGTAGGCATTGTTTGTTTGAGAATACAACAGAGAAATACCCTTAAACAAAGGAAAAGTACATACTTTATGAAGGCACAGAGCCTTTACTACATGAAAATGAAAATTAATGAATACACTGTGTACAATAATTTACCTGCATAAAGCTGTCTATGATGAAAATTAATTAACTAAGGATTTTTTTTGCCCTACCAGGGTGTGGCCGAGTTATCCGGACAGCCGGGTTATCGAGCGCCGAGTTTTCGAGACTCTACTGTACTAATAACAGTGGTGAAAGCAATGCCAGATTACTATTACATACCCCACACCAAGGGAAGCAAAAATAAATAAAATAAAGACATATCTTTGTAGCCTCTTCCCTAATATATATATATGGGAAAGTCACTATGTATGATAAGCACTATAATATATATATAAATGTTAACAATGGAAGTGTTGAGTAACAATGGAAGAGTTAAGAGAAAGCGGCGTGCAAGATTTACAGGTGTAGATGCAGATTTTTGCGTTTTTGACTGCATTTTATTAGGCTACCACATTTAGTAGGGTACCATGGGGGATGAATGAATTGTATTCCTTAACAATGGAAGTGTTGAGTAGCAATGGAAGTGTTAACATAAAAATGTTAACAATGGAAGTGTTNTATATATAGATACAAAATAACCAGATAGGAAAGCACTTTAATTTCTATGTGTTTTTGCTTCAAAAAACTAAATTGAATTGAATTTATCTTTGATGAGTTCTCATAACAAGTGGTTTTCAGATTTAATTTTAATAATAGTAAGTTTGTTTGTTTAATTAATTGAATATGTGTATAGTGTATAATTTTCAACATGATTAAGAATTTAGGAATATAGGCTATAGTTATTTCAAAAATTATTCAATTGAACTTTACTTTCTTTATATGTAAAAATTCAATAAGAAGCAAAATAAATTGAAAGATCTCAGTAAAATCTAAATTTATAAAAAAAATCTTTAAAATTCTGTAACAAAATTTCTTTAATAATATCTTTTTGCATTATCCAAAAGTCATTTTCAGAATATATTAACGTAGGAAATATTAAGTAAATTTATTATTGAGTTTTGAAGAATTTTTAAAGATTTATTCAATTGTATATCCAGTAAGATGTTTTTAATATAAAAGAATATATTGTTTTATAGTAATTTGGATTTAAAAAATAGTTATTTAGGAATAAGTTAAATTATAATGCATTTATGATTTAAATTTCATTTAAATGAAGCCTGTAATCAAGGATTGTTTTTATTTATTCAGGATAGTGGACCCAACGTTGTGGTCGAACAACAGTCAGACGTTTTAGTTGAATTAACACACAGAGATCTTCATGGTCTTGTACCAGAAGCTGATGAAGAAGAAGAAATTCTTCAGCAGCTATCTGTTCCAGATTTTGAATTAGATAGTATTTTCACAAATTCCGAAGAGAAGTTAGAAGAAAATTGTTTATTCAATCAAACACCCTGTTATAAAACGAATAATGAAGATCAAGAATATAGGACAGAAAAAGGTATTAAAGAAGAACCAAGTGTATCAGACTGTATGTATAGTAATGGGTCACACTTATTAACATCTGGTAGTGTAAATGAAAATCATTCAACCCAAAACTTACTTCCTGCATTAACTTCCTGTCATGCATCCATCACTGTGTCTAGCCCAATCACTTCATCTTGTGCTCTATCATCTGATACCCAATTATCATTAAATGGTAAGTTTTTAAATTTAGCATGTAGATCAAAATAACACTAATTTGCTTTAATTTTTGTTGTAAGCAATATATGACATTTCTGCTACCTTTTTCAGATTTCACTTATGTTATTTAATGCATTATTACTCATTTTGGCTAAGCTAAAATGTATCATACTAATAAACTTTTCATATTCAGCTGTCTTCATTACAATGCAATAGAGAATACTTGGGTGCCTTCTATTCTATAAGTTGAATTTTAATGCTTCCAGTTAGAATACAAGTAGAAGGTAATTGCATGCTGATATATGTTTAACTGAAACATTTAAAAGGAATGTTACGTACATTGAGTATTTATGTTAAAGAACATCAATGTTACTCCTTATACATACATACAAAAGTAATTTAATAACAACAATTTCCAAATCTTCAAGAAATTAAAAACTTTTTAATGTAATGTTTTCAGGACATAACATCCCATCTTTCCTTAAATTTCTGTCTTAATCCTTCATAGTTATTAGATAAATGCTATCCTATATTCAGACAAGATAAATCTCATTTATAATGCATTGATTAATGAATATCAAGTTACCAATATCCAAAAGAACAGTTGCCATTGGAATGAGATATATCTGATGTTTGTGTACAGGATAAAATTACCTAATGATTGTGAAGGATTTAAACAGAGATTTATGATAATATTTGTTTATGATGAGACATTAGATCCCAAAAATGTTCCAATTAAAAAGTTTTGTAAATTCTTGTTGTATTGAAATATGAAGTCATTGTTTTCTTACATGAATTTATTTATTGTATCCACTTTTTATTTCATACTTTATTACTTTCCTATCTGTTACAGAATATAATGTATGGAAAGTCAAATTGGTCAACTTTTTATCTTCCTATTTTGTCATTTCTCGACGTTCTGAAACTCCAAGAACTCGAAAATTTAAAAAATCCTAAAAAAACTGCTTATGAAATTGCACATGTATGTATGTGTTACCATCTGTTTTGCATTATATCTGAGAACTGAATGAACCAAAAATTTTGAAACTTGGCAAGATTATTTCTATATATGGGGCATCGATGCCAGTTGTGCACTCAGGATTTAATCTTGGGAAGCCAAGTCGAACAGATAAAAAAATTTTTTAATGTGAATTCAATAAAATTCCCACCTGATGTGATCATTAACTCACAAGTAGTATAGAAATAATTGACACAACACAATATAAAAATGAATTTAATTAGGAAAAAATTTTTGGAAAATTTTTGGAAAATTTTCTAGTGGTTTTTTTTTTTCTTTGGAGGATGCCAGGGCTCCTTGTTCCCCTCTGGGTGCATCACTGATTGTCGGTATTAAATTGTGGAGAGTATAGTCAAGGAGAGAAAATAATAAGGTCGTGTCATATCTTGAGCGGGTTCTGACTTAATGAGAACTTTACTTGTTATTGGCATTAATAATTCATTTAAAAATTCACACCTACCCTTCAAAATAAGGCTTTTGCCCTTTTTTAAAATAATAATTAACAATATAAAACAACAATAATTTTTCTTTAATGGAACTTTATAAGAGAAAAAAACACGAGTTCAAGCATTTTATGAATAGTTTTGTATTTTTTTTAATAAATCTTCATACTAATATTTGTATTCTTAATGCTGTTATATGAGAGTGATATGTATTAAGGTATTTAAATGTTTCTATTTAAAAATTTAATAAGGGTTTTGAAATTTTGTTTATATATTATGTGCAGGGCCATTGAATGGGAACTGGGGATTTTTCCTTGCATGAAGTAAAATCTTAGCTGCCTGTAGTTATTCCAACTCCTTTAAAATTAACATTGTTTGCTAACAGAAAATAAAATCTTTAAGACTGCTTTTTTTTAATAGAAAAACACACTACGTATTTCATTTCTTCAAAAAACAAAAGGTTAAAGGATCCCATTCTACTGTTTGACTCCATACAAGCTCTCAATGGCTCTGATTGTGTTAAATATATTAAACATTATTTAAATAAAAAATATTTCCTACCCTTTGCATAATTGTATGTATAACATTAAGTATTTGTAGTGCTTGTGATTTTTATAAAATATTAATTACTTTAAGTAGTACTGGATGACTGGACTGACGCATTATTTATTACTTAGGATGATTAGATTGCTTGCAGAGAAAGAGAATGAAATTAAATGCAAAAACTAGTTAATTGACAAAGAAATAGAATTAAAAACAATAACTAATTATTCCAACTCTTTATATATTTCTGTGTTTTTTTTTAGTTATTGATTACTTTTTTTTGCTTTAAATAATTAACTCTAACTACAATTACTGCAGATATATGAGGCTTATCAAACCATATTGGCATGTTAGAAAATCCAGATTGCATCAACAAACACTAATTTTATTCATGGGATGCATTTTGGTCTACATTAGACTCTCTTTAGCCACTATTACATAAATACAGATACTTACAACAATTGCAAAAAAACATATTTAACATTCAGCTTTAACTTAATACATAAAAATTTACAAAAGAAAAAACAAAGCTGCAGTATTTTACTTAATTACTAAAAGTTACTTGGGTACACTTAGCTTTTCAAACTCTTTCTGCCTTGAGGGCACTAACAAGTAAGAAAGCTTTTTTTAAGCCAGTTCATATAATAACTTATTTCAATCTCTGTACAAATTTCTAATTGGTTCTCAAAGCCTGCGGTTCAGCTTTTCCTTAAGTATTGAGTGCTATACATGTTGCCTTCTACCAGTCATTCACTTCACTGTTTATAGTTAATGTGTTTTTTTTTTCCCCATATCAAAAGACGATATTCATTCTTTTAATGCTTATTATTTATTAGTAAGTACGACTTGTTACTAGTAATATCACAGGATATGACATCAGTACCGCAGAATTTACTTTTTGTAAATTGCATTGGAAAGTGAAAACTAGATAGAAACTCAATGATAAGAATGGCCACGATAATAAATAATGATAATGATAATTTGATAATAAAAGAATGATTTTGAAATAAAAATATATGAAATATCAACTTTCTAATCTTATTAATACTGATATCTAATGTAAACTATATTCTAAATTTATCATTTATCAAATTATTACATCTTCGTTTGGCTTAAACATTTTAGATTTGTTTATTATTTGTCAATAGTCGGTTATATTTTCAATATAATTTTATTTGTTAGAATATTGTTTTTATACCTTTAATTCATAGCATGAATTCTTACAAACAAATTGTAATGAACTACAGCAGTTGTAAAATATCAATCTTTTCCCGAACAATTCAGTGTGAACAACTTCCAAAAAATACACGACAGATCTTACATTTGAAGGATAGATATAATATTAATACGTTTAATCTGTTTTAAAATTAAAATTTTTATTGTAACATTCTGGAAAGAGACGAGATATTTTTATAGATTTTATGAATTATAATTTGATTGCGTAGAATATTGATACATGTGTAATGTATTTCTAACTATTCGTAACATAATTTGCTCTTTCAACACTGTTTATTCATTACTTATTTTCTGTTTTTAATCTATCAGCTGAATGAATGCATATAATCTGTAAGGGAATTTACAAGCCCTATACATCAGTCTTATAGCTAAGAATAAATTGTTGGAGCTAGAGGGACAAATTGAAAAAATTGTGACTGGAATTCTTCATTTTTTTAGTCATCATTAGGTGTATTAGCTAGAGTTTACGTAAAAAAATAAGTAACAGTAGCCTAAGTTTACATGATGAAAGTGAAAGCATATATTATGTATGTTGCATATGGGGTCTATTGACTAAGCTGAGGGGGGCTCAGTCATCTCATAGACCCCATAGCTACAGGTTTGTCTTCTTACATAAAGTATTGTGACTAAAATTTCATATTAGAACCTACACTATTTTAAATTTGCCTTGCTTTTAGAGGATGACATTAAAATCTATTAAGTCAGTAATTTGTAGAGAGCATCCAATTTGGTTATTTTAATATATACAACACGTTTGCTTGATACTCAATAATTTATCTAAAGTTTAATAAATTATTTGATACCATATGCAGTGCAATATCTTTAGAAGGTTGTTATAATACACTATAGCAGGGATTGCCAAACCTTGTCATGACAAGCCATTTACCACCTATCAGAAATATATGAGAACTTCATCCTCTATTAGAATAGTATTTTATATTATATTTCATTAAAATAATATTGTAATCACTGCTCTACTGTAAATGTTACTGTTACTTTACTGATACTCTGTGACTGAGTAAACATTTGTTTAATTCCTTTGATTTTACGAACATACAGCTTTCACTTGCCCATTCAAGGTTAAGTTGCTTGTTATGCTTACATTCTATATGTATATCTCACTACATAATAGTCAGTAAACTTACAAAATATTACATATATGTAAATAGTATGTGTTGAGTTTATAAAAAGTTTATACAGGAATCACATGCCAGCCACAGTTTGACATCATTGCCATGTCGAGCCTGGTCAAACACCACTGATCCAATCAATATATATTTTTAATTTGTTTTTAAAACAGTTTTAGAAATGCATCATTAAGGAATTGCAATCAGATTACTCTAGATGGAAGATTATAATGATCAGATGGATAACAACTGAATAAATAAGCATTTCTTGCTGGATATGTAAGATGTCAGAGTTGAGTTTTGATATGACGACGACTCTTTATTAAGAAATCAAATACAGGCAAACTTTCATGCCATTTAGCACCTCTGTCTGTTTGCTTCTGAACTGATGCTAAAATGAGGAATTTCAAACAATATTAATTATATATAGTAGCAAGATATACACACAGGTTAGAGTTTCAGTTTGAAATTTGTATGATTTGATGATGATAATGCGGTTTGCAATGCAAAATAATATATTTAATAATTCACAGACACCAGATAGAGAAAAGTTGGATATTGACAGTGAAGATATGTTCACAGGTGTTAGTGCTTTATGAGGGTGGCACTAGTTAGAAGGTCACTGTATAAAGATTTAAATGTAAATTGC